AAACTGAGCTGAACAAAGAAACTTGCAGTTGTTTCATTTTCTTTTAGTTACTTCATCTTTAGAGTAAACAAAAATTTTGTATCCAACTAAATAATAACTACATCATGCTTTCCTGGTATGAAGCTCATAAATAAAAACAAAATCCCTACATTTTCTTAGAAACAACTCAAATCTCCTAAAAAGAACCAAAATAAACTTAAATATTTAATTACTAGAACAATCAAAGGACGGTGATAAAGCTGTTGAAGTTTTCATCAATAAATTGTAACTGAGCATTGCAAGAAAACTATCGATACACTATGTGATGCATCAAGAATGAATTATAGTTATGGAAACGAACACTCTAAGATGATTTTTTAAACAATGTTTAACAAGTTTTATAGACCAAAATAGTTTATAATAAGATTGAAATTAAACAAGATGCAAACCAAAATCATATCAAATCAGATGGAAAAAGTAAAATTTGCACGAAATCGAGGGTTTTTGATGGATTAAAAAAAGAGGAAAGATACCTGTTTTGAAGTGGGGGGATGCGAGAGATCTATCCGATTTTAGAGCTTCTATGGAGAGCTGAGGGGATGGGAGATAGAGGGGACTACGGCATAGGAGGAGGCGATGACGACAAAATATCGTTCTTTTGGGGAGAGTCAGGGGGCGGCGACAGTGTCACGGCGGAGTTGGGGCTAGGATTGGGGAGGGGAGTGAGTTTTTTTGGGGAGATGGTTGAAGTGAGGAGAGAGAAACGAGTTTGGGGAAGGAAGGGAATGTCACATGAATGCTTTTGGGGGTGCTGACATGGCTGGCTCCACGTAGGCGCAAGTTCAACTTGCGAGTTAAAGAGCGAGCCAAATAGCATTTTCGTTTGTGAATAGATTGAGAAATGCCCCTATTTGCGTGGGGATCTTCTGATGAGATTTGTACTTTTAATAGAAATATACAATTACTAAAAGAAGACTCCTCATGAAAATACATACTAGCACTTAAAAATAGTATCCTATATATTTTCCTCCATGGATCCAGAATCCGTTCCCAAAACCCGATCCAATACCAGTCGGATTCAATGTCAACACAGTACATATTCGAAACCCGATATCTCCTCGATGGTATTTATGTTCCCCCGTTTCTTGAGAAAGAGGAAACGCTAGAGCTGCCCTCAATTGAGCGAAGAAAAAAAAGTGAGCTTTTTCTCCCTCAAAAAATCGTTGGAAATGGAGGTAAAAATTTCTATCCAAATCTCAAATTCTAATTTCGATTCAAAAATTGATCGAATCGTTAAAACCTAATATTAACTATGGTATCTGACGAACTGCAGTTTGGAGGGGGGTCGCCTTGCGCGGGGATCGAGGGTTCAACGGAGAGAACTCTGTAAGTTTTAGGGTTTATTGTTTTGCTTTTCTGTTTGATTTTAGATGACCTCTTTTGGCGATTTCTTAGGTTGAGATCTGATCGTTGGAATTTGTTTAGGGTTTGATTTTAGGGTTTTCATTTTATTTTATAGAAAACATATTCACCGCCAAAATCAACCGTTTATGCAAGCTTTGGCCCCCAAATCTAGTTATTTGCTAATTTACGCTAATTCTTCCACGTGGAGTTACATACCCATAGCTTATTATCGACATTTTTTTTGAACGGTGGAAGGGCGAAATTGCAGCTAAACAACTAGCGAAAAAACTAGGTATATTAACTTATGCCCTGTTTGGATGGAGGGTAGAGAGGGGGAGGGGAAGAGAAATGCAGCTTTCACATTGTTTGGGAGTTTTTTTTAAGGAGGGTAGAGAGGAGGAAGGAATGGGAACGGAGGGTAAAATTGCTTGGTTTTCTTCCCCCCGATTTGGGTGGTAGAGGAGGGTAAAGGAGGGTAAAGGAGGGTAAAGGGGTGAAATGACATTCTTACCCCCATCAAAACAAATAAAAGGGCTGATGTGTTATTAGTATAAAGTCATTTATGTAAATTTATATATATTTACTTCCTTTCACCTTCATTCACCTTACTCAACTCCCAAACAACATATTACAATTCCCTTCCCTTCATTTCCCTTCCCTTCCCGTTGTTTACCTTTCCTTCCCTTCCCTTAGTAAACTCCCAAACACAGCATTAATGTAGTAGAATTTTAACTTACTGCGTTGCAATTGGGGCGCCAAATTTGCAAACTTGGTTGATTTAGTGGAATTTAGGTGAAAGCGATTGGTTTTTAAAGTGTTAGGGTTATCAATAACTTAATTTGATTTCTAAATTTAGATCTAACTGTTAGCAAAACCAACAGTGATATGATAGTGTGGAAATTCATATAGTGAACACCCGATTACAAGAAGTTAAGTCTTTGTCCCTGAGGGGATGATTGATACTCATGGTGCATGCAAATTAGTTTGCACATCTTTGTAGTTCGCTTCTTGTTTTATTGCTATTTGGATTTTTTTTTAGTTTGTATTCCTTGTGATGTCAGGTTGATATCTAACTATCAGAATTTGCTAGGGTTTGATTTTACAGTGTTATAGTTTTGAAAAATGTAATTTGATTTCTAAATTTAGCTCTAATTGTTAGAAAATATCATTGTACTTCCTCAATGTAAAAATTCACAATACCCTAAAGTTATGTACTAGACCTTGAAGAATTCAAGGTCTTCATCCCTAAGGGGATGATTGGTGCTGTTTATGTATAATAATTAGATTACATATCTTTGTAGCTTGAACATAGAATTCATTATATATATGTCTGCTTATAAGTTACTGCTGACTCGTGAATTATAGGAAGATAATCTAGGAAAAATGTAATCATATGTCATCATAGGATTGTCACTTGTCTGTAAGTTACACTATCGTAAAGGGTCTACCTTGGAATTTACAGTTCAAGCATTTGCGAAAGGTATAGTGAGATGATCTTCATTTTTTGGGGTGGGGAGTTGGGGAGTTTTTTTTGGGGGTGGGGGGTTGCCAAATGGCCTTCCTCAAGTTGAAAACTGAGTTGCTGCATTAATGGGTCTGTCTCTCAAACCCTGGAATCTAGAACCTTAATCTAGCGGAAAAATAATGTGCTTTTACATATACGAGATTTTCAAGCAGGATTATTTGAACCGTAGTTGTTGATCATTAAATTTATATGTGCAATTTACTTTGTGTTAATATAAAATTCATTGCCCTGTCAGTTATAGTGGTGATAAGTGGAATATAAATTGAATGATTAGATCTTCTTTGCAGGCAACCCTTTGTAACGGGTACATCGGTGTTAGGCATGAAATACAAAGATGGGGTTATCTTGGCTGCTGACATGGGAGGTATTTTCTCATCTTCTATCTTGGCACATCTCAAATGCTTACTTATTCTGTTATTATTTGCCTCTTATGTGTTAGTTTGATGGCAGGTATTTCATAGTTATGTTTATAATTGAAACACTCATGCCCGTCATTTTTTTACTAGCATCAGGCAATGGTTTTAAATCAAATCGCATTGGGCAATGATTTTAAATCAAACTCATGATCTTTGGCAATAGATGTAGTGTTCATATGGATGGATTCCGATGCATAACTTTTCTCAAATTGAAGGTGTTGATAATGTCTTTGATTCTTCGTACCACATCATTTGTTCCAGTGCATCTTTATATTGCATCAGTCTGTCAATTCTTTTTAACATTAACTTGCGTTCTTTTATGTTGTAAGTGTTGTATGTCCTTGATGGTTGAGATGAAACCATTTAAGCCACTTCTAGGGTCCCAGACATCGTGATTTGTTGCTTCAACATCCTGAAGTTGCCTCTAATCTAAATATTTCACCATGTTTAGGCCCTGACATGGATTTCTGCTTCAAGTTTTGTGAGTGCTATTGTTGCTAGTTCTTAGCCGACATCACCATTTTGTTCCATTTTAGCTTCATTCCTTGGGAGTCATGGCCTTGCTCAGTTCCTCAGCCTAAAAGGGAAAGACTTGTATGTTACCACATGCAGTTGTTCCTACGTGACAAGTTAGTTTTCACATATAGGCAAGGTAATCCTTTTATCATGTTGCACCCTAAACGTACTGGCTGATCCATCCATTAAAAACAGCCTCAAATGTTCCTTTTTACGGTGATATAAACTCGTGCAGGATTTAGATTAGGAAGTATTAACCTTTTACATGCCCTCCCTCTACTTTTTGCACATCAAATTGATGTCATCCTCTATAGATTCAAAATTCATTAGCTTGTGGATTAGTTGTTGCATAGGTGTTGTTTCATCCTAAAAGGATGTTGCTTTGTTCTGTCTAAGAACCTGAGACCTAGTGAATGCGATTTCTTTGATTAAGCTATTTTCTGTTTTTGTCTGATAGGCTCCTATGGTTCAACTTTGCGATACAAGAATTTGGAGAGGATTAAACCTATTGGTAAACATTCTCTTCTTGGTGCAAGTGGAGAAGTCAGTGACTTTCAGGAGATATTACGCTATCTTGATGAGCTAATGTAAGTATTCAGTCCATAAACATATTTTAGTAAATCATCATCTAAAGTTTTATCTTTGCTGAGCACATCTTCCATGAGTTAATGGATCACTGTTTCTTGTACCCAGCACTTCTGCCCTCATTTGCTAGCAACTGTACAAAATTACAGATAATATTTGTTTGCATTAAGAATCTATGAACAAGTTGAATTATTATTATGCTGTTTTTTTATTGTGCAGTCTTTATGATAATATGTGGGATGATGGGAACTCTTTGGGTCCTAAAGAGGTTCACAATTATTTGAACCGGATCATGTATAATAGGCGAAACAAATTTAATCCTCTCTGGAATTCACTTGTTATTGGTGGAGTGAAAAATGGGCAGAAGTATCTGGGGGTGGTATGTTTATTCAATCCAGAATCTTTTTCATTTGAATCTATGTACAAGGATATTGTATAAATGACAAAATATACAGGTGGGCATGATCGGTACTCATTATGAGGACAATCATGTTGCTACTGGATTTGGAAATCATCTTGCAAGGCCAATTCTTCGTTCTGAGTGGCGTGAGGACCTGACCTATGAAGAGGCTGTGAAACTACTCGAGAAATGTTTGCTTGTGCTGTTGTACCGTGACAGATCATCCATCAATAAGTTCCAGGTATAGTTTCATGAATATCAACCTGGCTATTGTTAAACTTATTTCTGTGTATGTTTGATGTAGCTACTGATATCTACCAGTATACTTTCAGTGATCTAATAAAACTTATTTGTCCTGAGGCACATTTAAAGTTCAACTTGATCTCTATGTTGTCCTATTTTCTCTATTTGCAAAAGTTAGTTGTAGTTTGATTCTTGAAGACTGTGGTTGTTCACCTAATGTTGAAATCAGGATATCATGTCTGTTCTATGGTTCCTAATTTGCTGTTAGCATCGCATTGTACTGGTATTATTTTAACACAATTGATTGGTTTCCAGAGGCATGCCATAGACATATCTTTTGTCCTAGTGAGGGGCTTCATTTAAATATAGATCTATTTAACCCTAACACTTCACCTTGGGCCCCACGGTGCCAGGAAGGCTTATATCATGATTCCTGAAGGCTGTCTGGAAAAACAGTCACTTGGTGTGTCACAACTATTTAATATGTCCTCATATTTATGATTTTTGTTTAGTCTGTAAGTAACTTGTTTGACACTTGTTAGACACAACTCACACTTTCTGAGTACTTCCCTAATATCATGCATATCCATCAACTCACACTTGGTATTTTTATTGTTAATGTTGGTTTTGGAAGTATTTATGAAAGTAACAACGCACATTAAGAATATATAGGAAATGTTAGTCACTAAGTTCCGCAATGAAAAAAATAATAATAATTATGGTAAGATGTGCTGTGTTACATATTGGCTATATAAGTCTTTCACCCGTATCAGATGCTCATGTTTCTCGTTGCAATTTTTTGTGTAGAATTAAAAGTTAATAGCTGATGTTTATTTGCGATTGAAAACATAGAATTATGTACCAAGTCTAATAATGATATCAAGTTTGATATCAATTATCAATTACCTTGTTCCGATTTATACATCATTTGTTCTTCTTACTCGAAGTTTGTTATTATGTATCTATACTGCAAGTTCGTAAATGGGTTCAGATTTCAGTACAGTTAAGTGAAACTAATATTGAACCATAGATTAGAATGATAGATTGCTTAATAATGACATCAAGGTTGACGTCAAACACCTCATTTCATCCCTACGTCAATTTCTTCCTTTATGTTGATTAGAATTCAATTCCAATTGCATCGCTGTTATATTTCATTCTTTTTTATCTGTCTTGGGCCCTTGCTGCATTCTACGTATTGCAATCCATCGTTGAACTGTTTCAGTGTTTCTTATCACCTCTCTCTCTTCTCATGTCATATGATTCTTGGGGGTCCACTCACATTTGTGTGTTGTTTTTTTGAAATTGGCAATTTCAAACAGCAAAATTTCTTAGATCCTCTATGGCTCTGTTTGACAACTTTGAAAATAACCTAATTCACTTTTGAACTAACTCCACTTGGCCTAAGTTAATCTAAACTCAATTTTATTGAACTAGTTATAGTTTAAAGTTTGCCTAATTTTTAGATCAGAACATATTTGTACCATTCTAGCTTAGTTCTCTTTTGGACCAAGGGTGACTTGGTTTGTTCCTAATCTATTTATTGACTAAAATTGGGCCTAAAAAAGTACAACTTTACTCCACCTTTCTAAATTGCCGAAGTAGGGCCAACCACATGGACCCATTTTGTACTCACTAAAATGAGTTTATTGAGTCTGCCAGACAGGCCCTATTGTTTGATGCTATTTGTGTATCTTTTCCCCCATCCTTTTATGATCTAGATCTGTTTCTATTGGAATTTCCCAGAAAAAGGGGGGAAACCTTTATCTGATCACCTGTATCTGATAAAGCTCATCTTCACTGTTCTGGCATTCTATGATCTGTTCCAATTTTTGATCTTTTTATTCTATGACTTATAATGTACGCGTTGATCTTGTTTCCTTGAAGTGAGAACATAACTTATATTGCTTCCTCGCTATTACTTCTTATCCTCAATTTATTCATATCTGCATTATCTCCTTTTTGTGTTAATTTTGAAAATACATCTAGCTAGATTTCAGTGACCCGTTGTATAAACTCCTCAAATATTATTATGGGGAGCATACTGGTCCTTGCTGATCACATATTATGTAGATGGTGCTTGCGGGGGCTTACTTTTTTTTTGTTGTCAAAAGTAGCTTTTAAGCTACCTTTTCCATACCTACCTAGCTGGTAAAACTCCAAATAAGTTAGCTTGTAAGGGGCTGTTTGGATGCCTTTAGGAAACTAGAGTATTTATGACACAAAATAGAAAGTGGTTATCCACCTCACCATTTTCCATTCGAGTGTTTACATTGTTTAGTTAGGAATCTTTGTGAATCCTAAAATAATAGTATTACATTGTTTGGATAGTATAATACACTGTTATAAATAGCGGTAAATAGCCCCGCAATAGCGGCGCTAATAGCGTTAACGGTCCCTTCCCGCGACGCTATCGCCCGCTACGCTATCATGCAATAGCGATGACATTGCGGAATGTCTGTTCGTAAAAGCGATCAATAGTGTGTCATAACGGTAAATAGTGAGCGATTGCATTCGAAATTTGTTTTTTGACTGCTATTTAAAAGCGGTTTGAGGTTTATTTTTTTAAAATTAAACTCAACCCTTGACCATTACATTCCACCGTCTCATGTGATTTTCAGCATACTCCCGTCATCTCTCATAGCCTCTGACACCTACATTGATACTTCATCTCACCTCCTTCACCGTGAGCTTCTCTTAGGGCAGTCCTGTCACCGCTAAGCTCTTCTTCTCGAAGACGACGATTTTTTGACTCCTCCAGTCATCTTCGATATTACGTGATGGTTACATGTCTATTTTATGTTTAGGATCTCTTTAAATCATCCAATATGTACTTTTAGATTTCTTAGATTTTTCTTTAATTTTTTTAATATTTATACATATCTAAATTAGGCCGCTATTTGACTTTGCGTTTTTTACCGTTATTTTGCCGCAATAACCCGAAATAGTCTTAGTGATGCCTCATCGCTACGCGACGCTATCCGCTATCGATAACCTTGGTATAATATAAACTAGAGTATTTATTACACAAAATAAAAAGTGGTTATCCACCTCACTACTTTCTACAAGGTTTTGATTTTTTATTATTTTTTGGACACATTTATGACATTGTGTCAGCTTTCCAACAAAATCACTTCTAATTTTGTGGTGATTTTGCTTTCGGTGACGCATCATCAAAAGGTGTAAGCTTTTCATGTAAAAGAGAATTTAAACAAACAATGTAAAGTGATGAAAGCTGATATAAGGACCCATTTTTTTACATTTTCCATCATTTTACATGATAAAAACATACAACCAAACAACCCCTAAGTGAGGATCTTCCCACTTCAATCCAAGAGTTAATGAACCAATTCGCCATGTACCATTTTCTCATTGTGAATCTATCTTTTTACTAGATATAATATATTTTCTGAGATGAGCATATGACAACAGAGTTTCTTCAAAGGCATTTATCTTTCCCCCAAACAAATTAAGAAATGTTTTCCCCAATAATTCTAAAATGATATATTTAACATTAGGAGTGTTTGTTTCGAGTGGAAACCCTTAGTAACCTGATACCATCAGAAAGTCCAAAAAAAATTCCGCAGCTTTCCTATTCCGTCGTTTGTTTCACCAAAAAGTTTTAAGAAAGTTTTACTTAAAAGTGGTGAAAATATCACATGTTGGATAGAAACCATTTCCTCTCAAAATGTGACGTAATGGGCACAAATTTGGTGGAAATGTAGGTTTTAATAATTAAATAATGGGGTGACATGGGGAGTTTGTAAAATATATTAGTTTAATAATGAGAGAATTGTTTCCAACTAAAATGTTTTCTTATTTTTGGTTTTTGAACCAAACAAATGAATGAGATAGAAAACATTTCCTCCCCGTGTTTCCATGGCAGAAAAAATAATATTTTTTTTCCTAGAAGCACACGAAAAAGGATGGAAATAGGTGTTTTACTACTAGAATTGGTTTCCTATATTTTGGGAAAGAAACAAACATGCCCTGGATGTCTAAATACAATTCCGCATTGGAAACAAGCATCTTAAATAGAAAATTTGTGTCACTAACTAACAGCCTAAACCCTATTTCTTCCCAACATAACATAATAATCTGTTGCCAAAATAGTAGAAGAATGTGCAGACATGGAAAATAAAACTCCTACTAGATTGGAGCTCTAGTCTAAAAACGAAGAAAATGAATACTCAAGAAGAAATATTTTTGTCTTCAGAACTCTGAGGCCAAGCACAATATCAATAAAAACATTCCATTTATTAGCCATTGACTTTGGATTAAAATCCAACAAAAAAGTGTGATCCTCCATCCCCAAACATATTAATTTATCACTATCAGAGCAGTTCTTTATTCTTCCAGTTTTACCAATATTATTTGAACGAAAGATGAACATCAACAATTACAACATGTATTATACCGCATTCTTGATGCAGTAATATCATGTCATTTTGTGCATACCTCTCCTGCTATGTTCGTATAAAGGGATCTCAATCTACATTTCTAAATTTACATTTCTAAATGACTCTTTGTCTAATGAAATATGCTCCATGGATGCTCGCCGCTCGGACTACCCTTTTTCTCCGGCAAAAAAGAAAACTCTATATAATCGTAACTCTCTTAAAACCTTATATCTCGTCTTTAAGCAAACATATATAGCAGTTGTCTGTAAGAACCAAACAATTTTCCCAACACAATAAAAAGGAGTTATAGGAGCCATAACATTGCTATACATCAAACTTCTAGATCTTTGTCCTTCACTTACCCCTTCACCTTACACACACAAACGCGTCATATATCATGTCTGATTAAATTCAAGGTACTTGAAAGCTCATCTTACTGGTTCATTTACACATGCAATATGCTCAGAATTCATGTACTTTTTTAACATGGAATGAGCTAAGTTTTTCTAGTTGGTCACTTCTTCACGGAAACCTTACCCCTTCACCTTACACACACAAACGCGTCATATATCATGTCTGATTAAATTCAAGGTACTTGAAAGCTCATCTTACTGGTTCATTTACACATGCAATATGCTCAGAATTCATGTACTTTTTTAACATGGAATGAGCTAAGTTTTTCTAGTTGGTCACTTCTTCACGGAAACCTGAAATATGTTTCTTTGATAAAATTTCAGATCGCCAAGATCACTGACGACGGGGTAACCATTTCGCAACCCTACGCCTTGAAGACTTTCTGGGGCTTCTCTTCCTTTGAAAATCCAGCCAAGAATGCTCAAGGATCCTGGTAAATTGCTCCGTTATGGTTGGATGGTGTACTAGTTTGTTGCTAAAAGGATCTATATGGTTGGTTATCTTTTGCTGGGCACGGATAGCTATGAGCCATTAGAACGAGGTGCCGGTTTATTATGCTTAATTTCCATGTTTATTTGAGAGCGATCAGTGGTTTGTTTCTTCAGTTGTGAATGAACTGTTTACAGGTTTAAAGACATTTTGCCATTCGATTGTGTTCATCTTTTGTGCTTGCTGAGTGGTTGATTCCCTTTTGGGATCGTTTGGAGTTGAGCTTAAGCTTATGTTTGCAATTTTCGACTAGGTAGAGCACGGTGTTGGATTTACTAGGCTAGACCCTAATGAAGATGGAATGAAATGAATGATTCTCTCCGTGCTATTTATTATGGGTTAAGTGCGCATGGACCCCCATGAAGCATGATGTTGTTGAATTTATTATCTATGTAGATCATTTTAACAGATGATACCCTTGCTGACTGAAATTCTTTTTGGCTCTTTTACCCTCAGTTTGCTTAAGTGTGTGGTCATATTCAATTCGATAGTTTATTTAATAATAGTAAACGAAGAGTTTTTATTATTCGGTTCATAAACGAGTAGATTTTAACCATAGTATATTAGATTTGATTCGTTTTGTTTTATAAAGTATCTGTTTATACTGTTGAGTCCTTAAAATTTCATTTTCCTGCTTGCAAATATATATAAGTAGTTTTTTATTTGTAAATATTATATATCACTAGGTTGCATGTTCATCAGATTTATTATGTTTGGTTCTATTGCAAGACTAGGATAATGAATAGCCGAATATCCACCGAATAATTTGCAAAGACTACCTAAACACTCTTAATGAATAGTGAATATTCAAATAACTAGCAAATAGATATCGAATATTTGAGTACTATCCGAATCAAATTTGAATACTGGTTTCCTATTCATTTTGAATTCGAATATGAATTCAATTGGTCACATACAAACCAAATATGAATACTGGGATATTTGATTGGAATTTGATTCGTTTCTACCCCTAGTTATCATCCCTGCGTTTTTACCCTTGAGTGAATCAAGTTCTATATTTGAAGGTAACAAGTTCAAATTCTCAATATTACAAGGGCGGGCACTTGTTATTTTATTTTACATGGTTGTCAAACTGCCTTCTACTTTTCTAGGTTATAGTTCTACAGGAGACTACGGTATTTGTTTAAAAAGGAAGAGGAAAAGGGTTTTTTATTTTATTTTAAATTTAAATATTACTCAGTTAAGTAGTGAATCGTTTGAAATTAGTACCTAGGATCATTGAAATGTTACTAGGTCCCAAGTTTAGCACAACTTGCAAGATAAAGTAACCTGGGGGACCCAAAAGTATCAATGTTTTGAGGAGCTTATTTCAAATAACAAGACATTTAAGGGAGTAATATCTGAAAACTCCAAAAAGGAAATACATTGTCCATGTTTTTTTGGCGATGGGAAACTTGGTTAGAGCATCTCCAACAAGCTCCTAGTTGGGAGTCCTTGTTGGAGAGCTCTCAAGCCCTCTCAAGACCATGACCCACCATTTTTAATGTCACATCCTCCTCCTAACTAATGTCTCCAACAAGCTCATAGTGAGGAGCTCTAACAATATCAAAAAACTCCTCTTCTATTTTATTTTTATTACCCATTAATTTCAATTATATTTAAACCTATTTTATTTGATTCCTAACCGTTGGACACGGTCTTCGAGGGAGCACACACTTTCATCAACAACCAACATAATCCTATCCACTGGGCACGATCTTCGAGGTAACCCGTGGTCTTCGAGGTTGCCTATATTTCCATCGACAACCGACAGATTCATATCCATTGAACACAGTCTTCGAGGGAGCATGCACTTTCACTGACAACTGACATATTCCTATCCGTTGGGCACAAAGTTCGAGGTATCGCGCACTTTGACCGTCAACCGACTGATTCTCATAAAATTCGACGCCTTCTCACCTCAACCCATCATCTCCCACAACAAAATGTCTAGCTCATCTAGTTCAAGCGATGATGAAATGATGAAGACGTTCTTTCTTATGTGAGCTGCTGTTGTCGAGGAAGAAGAACAAGAGAAAGTTGGAACTGCACGTCAACACAAAAGACGTATCGTGCTCCATCGAAACCGACTGGAAGGTCACAACCGGTTGTTCCAAGATTGTTTTGCAGACACACCAACCTATCCTCTTCATTATTTTCGTCGAAGATTCAGAATGTCGCATTCGTTATTCCTTCGAATCCACAACGCAGTCGGCGAACATGACGAGTACTTCGTTCAAAAGAGGAATTATGCTGGACAGTTGGGACTATCTAGCCTTCAAAAGATTATTGCAGCTATGCGAATGCTCGCATATGAAGCATCCGCTGACTCCGTTGACGACTACGTTCGGATCGGTGAAAGTACGTCGATTGAGAGGCTGAAGAGGTTCGTTCGATCGATTATCGACATCTTTAGGGCGGAATACCTTCATTCACCGACTAATGAAGACGTTGTTGCACGCCTGCTTGAGGAAGGTTCACAATGAGGTTTTCCTGGTATGCTTGGGAGCATCGACTGCATGCACTGGACATGGAAGAACTGTCCAACCGCCTAGCATGGTATGTATGCTGGGCATTTTCATGAACCTACAATTATTTTGGAGGCTGTAGCTAGCAAAGATCTTTGGATATAGCATGCCTTCTTTGGACTGCCAAGGTCTCATAATGACATCAATGTACTATATCGTTCATCGGTTTTCGCACAGCTTGCAGAGGGAAGAGCTTCACCGCGCAACTATACCGTCAATGACTATGAGTACAATATTAGATACTATCTCATTGATGGGATTTACCCAGAGTGGTCCACATTAGTGAAGACTATTTCAGAACCTCGAATAAAAAAAATATAAGTACTTTGCTCAACAACAAGAGATAGCAAGAAAAGATGTCGAGCGAGCTTTTGACGTGTTGCAAACTCGATTTGCGATTGTTCGTGGACCAGCACGTTGCTGGAGAGGAATTGTTTGATGAGGAATCAGAGTTTGTGGTTCTTCTCGGCTGTGATCAAATCTTATTGTAAGTTTCAATCTGTTGGATCCACTTTTGATGATGACGCAACTCAACCCAGCAATGGTCAAACACGAATGATTTATCATAAAGAGATTTATATAATTATTTTACTTTTACTGTCTACACAAGAGTTAAATTTAGAATAATTAAACATATGACGCTTGAAGAGAACGTTGAAGAAGACAAACGTGCACAGGAGGAGCCCATATGTGTTTATAAGTTAAATATTTACCTGGTCAATAATTTCCGTACCAGATCTTTGACTTCTTCAATCTGAGCAACGCACCTGCAGAACTTGTTGACGGGCAGTTGAATCGTTGACCAATGATGCATCATTTGGTTTAGTGTGCGGCTTATTGGACCGGTGGAATATTGGATAAAGTAGTCGTTAGCTCTGTGCCAAAACTTATCTTTGTGTTGTCCCGTACCTTAGATGGCGTCTTGGCTTGTGTTCAGCCAAGCAGACGCAAGAAGCTTATCCTCGTGGACAGTCCAATTTTCGGACCGTGTGTAAGCCTTCTTCTTCTTTGTGGTAGGTATTTCTTGGGATGACACTTGTTGTGTTACCGATTGTGAGAACTCATGGATGTGGTGACCTTCTTCTACGATGTCTGTGTAGAACGGCGAGTATAAGGCTGATCCTTCACCGGTAATGAGTTGCGAATAAAAGTTTTGGGAGGGATCCATAAGATTTGTAATTTGATAGGAAAATATAGAGTTTTTAGTTGCGAATAAAAGTTTTGGGAGGGATCCATAAGATTTGTAATTTGATAGGAAAATATAGAGTTTTTTTGATGAGAGAGTTGTGTGAAATGAGGGATCCATAAGATTTGTAATTTGATAGGAAAATATAGAGTTTTTTTGATGAGAGAGTTGTGTGAAATGTTTTGTGTAGTGAATTGAGTATTTATAGAAAATTTTTACTGTTCATGACAATTTTTTAAATCTCAACGGCTAATTTACTGTTCATGTCAGTTTTGAAAAATCTCAACGGCTAATTTACTGTTCATGTCGGGTTAGAAAAATCTCACAAGGAGCTCCCAAGCCATCTCCTTAGGCTGACGTGGACATTGAGAGCTTGGGAGCTCCCAAGCGCTCCACAAATTTGTGGAGAGCTTGGGAGCTCCTTGGCACCCCTCCCTAGGCTGCGCGCCACGCCAGCCCAAGGATCAACCTTGGGAGCTTGCTGGAGCATCTGCGGCAAGCTCCCACCGCCACCTCAGCCTTAGGAGGTGGGGTGAGAGCTTGCTGCAATGCTCTTAGGGGACTACTATGCCTTGAGAGAGAGAGGGAGAGCCCGAGAGTTCACAGGCACATGAGCCCCACCACTATGTTTCTTGTTGTCAAAAAAATAAATAAACAAACAAAAATGAATAGATCAGCAACAATGTGCATTAAACTGAAACAACATATAAGGTAACACACAACTGTGCAAGGCAAAGCCAAAAAAAAAAAAAAAAAAATCAGCATGAGGTACCATCACCATGTTTATGTAGTCTAAAAAGAAAATGACTGCCTATAACAGTGGTATTTCTTTGATATTTACAAAACGGAGCTAAACAACGTATGACTTGTTTCCCCTCTAGATAATGATCCGAGGAAGATCGTTATCACTTTAAGTTGTAGAAGATTTTTATTAACTTTTTGACTACAGGTTATAATCTCCTACACTTCTCTCTTCCTCCGTTGGTAGCTGACCTCGCTATGCAAACTTTCTGTAGGGTTGATCTATTATTTTTAACTATCTCACCACAGGACGATGGCAACTGGTCAAATGACACCAACGAACCCTGAAGATGGGCTCAAGAAACGTAAGCTGGAGCACCAACCCGCTTCCACTTCGACGACACAGATTGTGCCGAGAGCTCCTCAACCTCAGGACCAAAGTAACGATGATGGCGCCCGCAAGCAAGCTGATGAACTGCTGTTTCGAGAGCATACTCGTCTTACAATGGATATCAACCCTCTCTACACTCATAAGCTTGGCAAGCAAGCTGAACTGCTGTCTCGAGAGCATACTCGTCTTACAGTACTGGATATCAATTATATAACCCTCTCTACATTCATAAGCTTAAGACAAGCGGAGAACTAGGATACCGCCGTCCAGTGACGTCAAAGAAGCTTGAAGTTATTTATCTCGAGATTGATGTTCCAGAGTTTCGTCGTTGCATCTCTGATGTATTGACTAAAGTCTTGACCATCCGCTACTATGG